GGGTATACTTATTCACCATTTAACAAAATGGCAAAATAAATTATCCAAAGTAGTTATTCAATTAATGCAATATGATGCGGATGATGCACAAACAGTATAACATGTAAATATATCTAGGCTATTCCTCCTGGGATGCTACACATGGTGTACGGTGTAACAAATGATAGCTTGATTTCACTTAAATGCGTCTGTGCAGCAGATAGATAACTAAGCAAGCAATCCTCCCTGAATTATCTCACAAAATACGACTGAACAAGGCCAGAGACCCCAAAGTTATACGAGTAGGTGAGAAAAGTGCATTTTGGTTGATGGCAATCATGATTGTAGTACTATGAATCATCTTCCCAATCTACCATAGTACACTAGTATTAATGTTGACTCACATTTTAAACTCAGGGCACCCTGATTTGGACATTTATATCATCCCGAATATAAGAACATGCATGCACCTTATACAGGTGACCTGCCTCTTCAATTCCCACCTTCTCCGAGACGCCTTTAAAATGTGTCCCTCCCATCCCCCACCGCCTCGGCCATTCACCACTAGAGACACACATACTCATGCTCAAGGCTATTTTAGTGGTGTGGATTGCTTCAAATCGTTTTAATCCCATTGACTGGTATCTCATAAATTCAGATTGATTCGATTCCTCTCTAGTTTTGTCGAGCGTTTCTATTGTTTGCCACGGTTCGATTTAGCTTGTTTTTTCTCTTGTTGCTATGAAGGTTCTCATTCAGCATGCAAGAAATGTGTTGTGGCATCCTAAACATATTGGGTTTAATTCGCTAGAATTCGAGTTCAGACCAGACTAGGACTTGGAGGCATCCGTAGAGTTTTGTGAAGATTGTAAGAGGACACTCGTAATTTTTAAAGAGAATCTTTACTTTGCTATTATTATTAGTTTTGAATCAGTGATTACAATGTTGTTTTAAATTTGTACCATGAACGTGATATTGAATTTATCCTACTTGATTATCATGTAAAATAATTATCATTTTTGTCCAAGTCTGCAAGTGCAACATCTTTCAAAATAGCGATCATCAGGTCTTCCTCTTGTCCTAATGGCCAACTGCGTTGTTGCCAGACTTTTTTGTTTTTTCACTTCTTTCAAACCCCAACATTATGTTCTCTTTGCCTTGATTAGGGCATAAACTCATACTTCCGCTCACATTCTAAATTTGAGAAGATTGTCAAATGGAGCAAAGATAAAACAAGGGATTGTATTCATTCTTGTATCAAGGGTTAAACTACAAGTGATTGCCATCTTATTATACTTTGCATGAATGATGATCATTGTTTACCCAATAAACTTGACTTTCTCTCTAAACCTTTGGAGCCTCAACAATCAAATGTCTCTCTATCAAATGCAGGACAGGGGCGCACAACACCATAGATGCCCTTGCGCCCATGCTTAAACCTTG